TTTTGTTCAATAAACCCAGTTTCTATTTTTGAACATACGTGTCTTTTATTTGACATCAGAAAGGGGGGCTAGGAAGGGGTAAGTGGAAGGACGTGAGGGAGGAATAGGGCACGAGCCCCCGGTGGGGAGGACCAGGTTGGCTCTGAGGGCTCCTCAAGGTGGATGCTCTCCCTCAGGGCCTCCTGGATCCCCCGAATGGCAGCCTGTAGCAAGTGAAGCTGACCTGATGAGAACAACCCCATGAGACACACCAGCATGTCCAGGGGCGGCTCTGGCTCCATGTGGCCAAATGCTGTGGTGTCCCAAGTGTGGGCACTCAGGGCACTCCAAGACAGGACTGCTTTGCTGTCCCTCATCGAGGTAGACAAGCAAGCAGGGAACCCTGAGAACTGTCTGTCCGGGGTGGGGGTAGGATCCCTTTAAGCATGGAGCTTTGTTAGCCTCAAGCAGCAGCTCCACACACTAAGTCCTAACCTGATGCCCTGCCAGCACTGGTTCTGGCCAGCCTTAACTTCGGTTCAGGGTCCACTCAGTGTGGACGTGCTATTTCGAAATAGCAAAGCACTATTTCTATATAGTTTTTGTGTATAGATGCGTTATTTCGAATTAGCTTAATTTGAATTAACTATTTCAAATTAAGTTAACTTGAATTAATGCTGTAGTGTAGACATACCCCCAGGTGCCACAGGACTACTTGTTGTTTGACAATATGGAACACAATTTGAATTTGTTTATGCCTGCTATTGTTTACTAGCTATTTTCAGATTATATTTTGTGTGATATTTCTTTTGATCTCTTTTTCAGTGCAACTAAAATATACTTTCTGGAGAGGATATTACAGCTTCACTTTGTAAGAAAACTCCTTCTTATTTACTGCTTTTAACTGAAAAACAACATATAGAAGAAAAGGTTGTGAAAATTTGTTTTACTTGTACCAGGTATTGAGCAGAATTGCTTTCATACAATGCACATTCATGTGTACATTATTTATTTGTATTATGTAGTGCCTAGAGGTTCCAGACAGGATTGAAGATGTATCATTATGCAAGAGTACAGAGTAAAAGACAGTCCTTACTCTTAAGAGCCTGCAATCCAAACAAAGGAGACAAAGAAAAAAAATAACCAACAGCTCAAAAATACATCATGTGTTGATCATATTTCTCCAACCTACCTTTCCTGTATTCTGTATATATGCCACAACCAACTCATAGTGGCCATCTCTCACCAAGCCTGCCCCACAAATTGCTAAAACTCAATTTCAGAGAATAAAACAAAAACAGAAAATCAGACTGGCCCAAAGTGTCTCAAAGCTTGCTTCTGACTCACATCTTCTCTGCTCCATTTGGAAGGGAATGAGGAGTAACATCTGACAATGTCTTGGGAGAGGGAGCCAACATGGCCCATTCCTTCCATTGCAGTTATTGGCAGACAGCTCAAAGCTACTCATCTGCTCCCTGTGTTGCAGAAGATGACAGAAGAGAAGGGGTTCTTGCTGTAGTCTCATGAAATAATATTCAGATGTTTTTGTTTGCAAAACAAACAAAAAATGAACACTTCCTTCTCACCGTGAAATCAGGAACTTCTGGGAAAACACTGCTTTTGTAATGAAAAGACTTAATAAATAAGTTATAATATAAATCACTCTGCTACAAGTAGAAATCCTGATAGAAATATACAACCTAAACTACTAAAAACTAGTCTCAAATCCAGTAAGCATTAGTTTTTAAGAGACAAATCATTATTGTTCATTATTGTTATGTAATTGGATTGTGATATGTCTTTACAGATCATTGTGGTATATTTGCAACAAATCATGTATAAAGCGGGCCAAGTGAGATATCTATGTAAAGCATATGGCTCGCTGGTTGTGTTTGTAGTATTTGTATGCATGCATCTTTTTTTACTTTAAGATATGAACATTATATGTGTGTCAAATGTTAGCTCGTAGACTGGAGTAACTAGCTGGCCAGTAGGCCTAAGAAAGGCTATTCATGTTGATTGGCCCAACAACATGAACAATGAAGCATGGAGGCACCCAATTACACTGACTGGACTTCCTTGAAAATCTTCAGTCTAGAATGTGATCCATGGTGTCTAAGATGATACTATATTTTTAAATAGTAAATGACCACTAGGCAGATGACAGATTGTGGCAGGAGCACAAGCGCTTGCTTGTGGAGGGAACCAAATTGAAATGGAAACTTGAAATGACCAGCAGTGGGTCTCAAATGTTGACATGAAGACAGACACACTCCTGGCACTGTGCACGGAGTTTGACCCACTACATGAATGAGAGAGTATGCAGGTGACAGCTCCAGTAATAGGCCAGCAGTACATTATCACCCTGTGAAACTGGCAACCTCGACCTGTTGGCAATCAGTTTGGAGTTTGTAAAAATATATGGTTGGCACAGTGATCATTGAGGCGAGCCAGCCAAACCAGAGCTAGTGGAACAGATGCAGAACAATATGTCAGGAGTGAAGCAGGAGACTATGAACTAAATCAGGATGAGGCATCAGGAGTAGAGCAGGGGACCAGAAATCAAGAACAGGTCTGGGCTCAGTCACCAGGAGAATGCCATAAGGTGTGCTTGCAGCAGCAAGCCAAGGATCCATTTAGTTGCATAGAGAGCCTACACATAGTTTTCCTATACCTTAAAATAGTATGCCTGGGCCAGTCAGGGAATGTAATAGGCTCTCTGAGGGTATGTCTACACTACAGAGTTAGTTAGAACTAACTTAGTTCGAATTAGTTAATTCGAACTAAGCTAATTCGAACTAATGCGTCTAGAACTAAAAACTAGTTCGAATTAGCGTTTTGCTAATTCGAACTAGCATGTCCACATTGAGTGGACCCTGAACAGGGCTTAAGGATGGCCGGAAGCAGTGCCAGCAGGGCATCAGAGGAGGACTTAGAGCGTGGAGATGCTGTCTCAGGCTAGCCGAGGGCTGCGCTTAAAGGGACCCGACCCCCACCCCGGACAGACAGTTTTCAGGGGTGCCCCACTTGCAAAGCAGTCCTGGCTTGGAGTGCCCAGAGTACCCACACTGGGCACATCACAGCACTCGGCCATCAGCCCGGCTGCACTTGCTGCAGGCTGCCATCTGGGGAGAGGGGACAATTGGGGGGCTGCAGGAGAGCTTCCACCCCCAGAAGCTCGCAGAGCTAGCCCAGTCCTCTCCATCGGGGGCTCGTACCCCATTCCTCCCTCACCTCCTTCCACTTACCATTCCCTAGCCCCCCTTCCTGATGTACAAAATAAAGATAACGTTTCTTCCAACATTGACTCTGTCTTTATTGAACAAAACTGGGGGAGACTGGGAAAAGGAGGTAGGAAAGGGGAAGAGAAAGGCTGGGAGAGGGGAGGGCAACTAACATGATCAGGGGTTGGGAACAGGCCCCAGATGAAGAGAGGCTACAGAGACTGGGACTGTTCAGCTTAGAAAAGAGGAGACGGAGAGGGGACAGGATAGAGGTCTCTAAAAGCAGGGGTTGCGTGGAGAGGGTGCATTCAGAAAAGTTCTTCATGAGTTCCCATAAAGAAG